GTTTACTACTGCATTTGGTTCATACTTGAAGGAGACGGAGTTCGTTATTTTCTTTCTTGTTCTTTTTGGGTCTAACTTGGTGTATAAATATATTTTTATTTCAATGACCAATACCTGGCATTTAGTTTTCTAGTGGTGCTTTTCTAGAACTACGCCGTGATTGCGGATATCAGTGCGGGCCAAAAACTGATCGCGACCGCCTGATAGGGCTACGAAATAGCAGCCTCGTTGTGCTTCTCTTCTGCCCTGACTCGACTTTAACGAAGCGTCGCACCTCACGGCCTGGCAAAATTGCCAGCATGGCAAAGCGCGGCGTTCCACGTGCGGCGGGGTCCCTTCGTATCAAGGGGTCGGCGAGTGCGCTTTTTTTTCCTTCGATAAAAGTATAAATAAATTCAAACTTCCCTCGATTCGTGTCTACCGCCATGTCCCAAGCGGCTTAATTGAATCGGCAAGTAACCCCCCAACGGCTCACGCAAAATGTCAACTTCTCGCCGTGTCGTTTTGTTTGTGAGTTTGCAAAGGGGAGGGCGAAGAACGCTGCGCTCCCCGGTGCAAACTTTTTAATTAAAATGAAACAATTTCTTTTTCTTTAATTACGACGATCGTGACTGCCTTTCGCGGCCCACGTGTCGCTTTATCGCTATTCATTTGGCCGACTCTTGTTCCAATTCGGCGACTGCCAGAACCTCTGGGGCTGTAAATTTCAAAATACACGGGAAACAAAAGAGACAGGATATAATGCTAACAAGGAGATTTATATTAAAAAAAAAATCTTCACCCTCTAAATTGTAGTAAAAAAAGTAAAAATAAACGATAAATCAGGGTGCGCGAATGTGGGGGGAGAATGACGTTGCTAAGCACGCAGATAGGGTACGTATATACGGATTGTGGCAGATTACCAAAGTCGAGGTCATTATTTCCCTATCTGAATTCTAATAAATGAACCACACCCTCGTCAGATCGGCCTCTCTAATTATTATTACATACGCGCACACACACAAAACAAAACAGCCTGGTAACATATGGGGTAAAACAAAGCAAAGAAACACGATTCTTTTCTTCTGGAATAGAGTTCGTCTGAACAAGAGACATTTTAACAGAAAAAGGAAGAATAAAAAGACGAAGGATAACTAAAAAAGAAAAAACAAAAAAGAACAAATAAATAAAAAAAAAAAAAACACGCCGGGGCCGGAGGGAGCTGAAAAATCGGCTAATTAGCGGCCAGACATGACAGCGCTGCAAACAAGGCGCGGAGGGGGGGAAGCGAGAGGGAGAGGTTTGCTTATACTACATTGAAGGTGAAAAGAAAAGGATTGCCAAAGCACACTTGGCAACGAGCTTCCGCGAAGATTCCTCGGCACGAACCCGATCGGGTGTCGTCGTCGCGAGCCTCATTCTCTAGTGCCTGACCTATTTTGTGTTCGTTTGTTTCTCTCAAAATGGATACATCCTTTGCTGAATCAAATTGCATATTTTGTAAACTTTCATATCTAAATAAAAAAATAAAAAAAATGCATCGGTCTTAAATATATAAAAAAAGAAAAAAAAAGAAAAACGTATTTAGGGTAAGCGTTCTGCACAGTCCTCTGGGCGAATAGAAATAAACGCGTGCTTTAAGACAAAATGCTTCGCGCGAGTTCTCGTACGAAAGAAGCGATTCCCAAATCTTAGTGCCACAAAAACTGACAAACAAAAAAAAAACAAAAAAAAAAACAACAACAACAACAACATAACCTTAAAAAACTAGAGGAGTGTGCGTGAAGACACCCTGCACTCCAACTCCAAACTTTATTGCAGGCTAGGCAAGCTGCAGCGAGGAGAACCTAGCTAGTCGGGACTATTTGTTATGAAAAGTCTGAAGACCGCGTTTGTGTTCATATCCTTGGCACACTGTTTTGCAGAAAATGATGGAACCACAAGGCGCAATTTGCTGAATGAGGGTTCCCTGGGCGTAAAAGACCTGGGCTCTTTCACGTTCAGAATGAAGTACTGATTAAATACCGCATGCTCGTACGATGTTTATTCGTGAACCCATCTGATGTTGAGGAACCAATGTCGCAGCGTGAAAATTCTTCAGCCTAGAAGGCGCGCGCTCACCGCTGTGAAAAGCGTGAAAAGCACGCAAAAACGTAAAAATGATGCGGTTCATACTGCTTTCAAACTTTGTGTAGTTTTTCATCACGGCCTCGTTTCTTGGCCGGCTGTTTCAATGAATGCCTCGTGGTAATGAATAAATGACTTTAAACATTCTGACGTCTTCGCACTTCTGTACGAAGGTGATCAATGTTAAACAACGAAAGCACCAAGCTGTCAAAATGGGTTAACATCGTAGATATTGGACAAGACGAACTACTCAAAGTGCAAAATGCCCAAAACGTAAAACTGAAAGCGGTTGAAAACAAGAATTACTGCAACCGCGAATACACCGTTTCTGGGAAACTTCTTTTTTTGTTTTGCAGGAGGCCTATTTAGTTTTAGCACGTTGGGCGTGCACCTCGCTCCCTCTCCAATGGTATCAAGTTGCGGGTGTTGCGTCTTAGAGTGCGCACATGGTTGCCGACTGGCAAATCGTCTAAAAAAGCGTGCTAAAAAAAGATCAAGAAGCTCCAAGTTCAACAACCCCCGGGTGGGACCACAACCGCGCTGCTGACCGCCGTCACATTCCGCGGCATTCGTTAGCCTCAATTGTCCGGATTGAAATCAGAGAACCAGAAACCGGATTATCCTCAGTCCGCAGTGTTCAGAATGTAATTAGAGTTTAACTCCACGTGTCGACGACTAGACAGAGGGACGGGGAGGGCTGTGGGCGGCAGAGCGTGATCTTAGGTTAATGATCCGCATGAGTTCATTGTTTTCAAGGTGACCGCTCGTCTCGGAGCCCAGGAGGAGCGCTGTGTGCAGAACGGATAGCGCCTCGTCTTATCACACCAAGCAGCTGAGGTCAGGAAGCTGAAGCAGCGGAAGAACGCGTAAAGTATTTAATCCTAGATACGGAGAGAAAGACAGCGAGGAGCAAAGACGAGGTCTCTCAATTGTATTGGGAGAAGGAACTGTCTCCAAAATGCTTCCATCGCCGGCGCTTCAATCTAGGGTTCCTCACAGCTTGTGCGGCTTGGTTCAAAGGCGTATGCATAATAAACTCGGAAAGAAGCAGTGCTTTCACCAGTCGCACAATCTAGCGTTTCGAGGCTTTGCACGATCAGAATGCACGTGAATAATAGAGAGTTTTATCACGCGTTAGCGTCCCACCCTTACCATTGCCACCTTGCCGGATCTGTGCCTGGAAGATACCGGGAAAAAAAACGTTTGCACTAACCCTGTCATCTCTCACCGCTATTTTGATCCCGACGGCGCAGTATAGATGGCGGTTGGCGAAAACGTTTACTTGGCGGCGTGTTCCCGACGCAGTTCCGGTATTGTGTTAACGATAACGCTCTGCAGAGTCCCTCTGAAGGCTGGTTCAGTTATTGACGTTGGCTGAGTATCCATTGAACAGAGCGACAGCAACAAATGGGTCTACGGCTCAACAGTACTTCTAATGCCGCAATCTGCTCAAAAGTAAGTGGGTCTGTTACGTCGAGACCGACCAATCCCAAATGACCATGGACGTGTCTATTTTTGACGTGTGTTCGCCTCTCGCAGGTGTTAATTGGGTACGTGCAATGTGGTGTATTATGTATGACACACAGTTGTTTCAGTATTATTGCTGTCACTGTCGGTTGGGTTGCAGCAAACGCAATCGACGCAGATGCACGACCCAGGCATAATTATATTTTTCTGGGTATCTTATGAGTTGCAAATATGCCGGCGTGGGTTTCTCTCAGCCTAAGTATCTTCGCCCGTTTGCTCATGAGAACGCTAATATCTACTGCTACTTCTAGGAAAAATAGTTGAAAACTCTTATTTTTTTTCCTTCGTTTTCCTGATTTCCGGAATTCCGACCAGGACGACATTTAATCTTTACTCTAAGAAGTACCTGTATTTTTAATAAACTAAAAGACACGTGAAAGACCAATTTTTGGGGCATCTCACCTACCCTAAGCTTAACAAACCCCCAAGATTACAAAACAACAAAAAAACAAATTATTCTTAGATTTTTTTTTTTTTTTTTTAAATATGCGTTTGTTGTACCAACGCCCGTACTTCGATAGCATCTTACTGGATAATGACTGCATTCTTGCCACCCTCCCTGCAATATGACCCTAAATGGGCACAAAGTGTAAGCAACGTCGAGGTTCCAAATGCGTAATTGCTGATCAACACGGTCATTCCACGTCAAATACATGATTCTTTTTTGCGTGCATTTGTTCGTACCTAGAAATGAATGGCGCCCATACACCACATGTCGTTTCCTAAATTAAGCTCAAAACGTACAACTGAAAAATGGCTCGTCCCCCTGCTTAGCAGGCGAGTGCACGTCAGGGGGCCAGCGCAAAGTGCAAGGGTTTCTTGCCTGTCAAATCTGGTCCCTCAAGAATACTTCTCCGCTGCCGAGACCAGACTTTGTAGGTCAGCTACTACCGTCGCTCGCGTAGAACAAAACAAAAGGTAAAAACATAGATAAAAATTAGAAGTGGGAAAGGTGAACGCAGTGTAAATATTACAACATGAAAATATCCAGGGCTCAATGAAAGAACAGCGAAAACACGCCGTAGACACCGCTCTTTGCCTGCGTGGGATGCGCGACAGCGCCCTGGGCGTCACGTCCACAAAGTTGACAACACGCGCGCGTTGTCTCCCCCTGCCACGTCGAGAAGCCCCCGTGTGGCGCCCAAACATTCCGATCCCCGAGCGTTCTCGGCGGAATCGTGCGAGGTGTCAACACATCCCGACAACTCCGCCGAGCGCGCTTCCGCATCTTGCAGTGCACTCCCCGGCAGTCCCAACTCCCGCACTTCCCGCAACCCAAGAGGCAGCCAGCCGACCGCCGCCACGAAGCCGCGGGCGGGGTGGCCAGCGTTCAACCTGGTCACGGGCATAAGGCATGCGACACTCACCCGGAGCTGCATCGGCTACGGCGGAGCTGCAGCGTCGGCGCGGGACCGAACCAAGCGAGCGGGCTGGACCGCGGCAGGCATAGCACTGGAACCCGAGCTCCGAGGCGATCCCGAAAAATGCCCCCTCTGTCGGCGGAGCAGCACGGACCACGAGGGACTCGGGGCCCCGGCCTTCTCTCCACGGCCTTCCCTACTTCCCCAGGGCTCAGGTCGCAGCGCCGTTCCCCGCTTCAACGGCGGGCGCCCGAAGCTAGGTCGGCCCACGAGGCGCCGTGCGACGCGTCGTGCCGCCGTTGCGCAGCAGCCCAGCGGGCGCGACCGGATTCTTCCCCAAACTTGGGCGCCGGGGAAATATGCGTGGCGCCGATGGGCCGAGCCGGCAAGGGTGACACAGATACCTCTGCGCGCACTCCCCGGATCGGGGCGTCCGCGGCGCGGGAAATGCGTTCGTGCGATTCGAAAGCGGTCGAAGAGCGGCGCTCGGGACGAGCACATCCCGGCCGAGCTGCTCGCTCTTGCTGCTGCTTGGGCAGCTGCAAAAACGAATGCGCTCACTAGTGGCTTCAGAAGTGGGCAGCTGCAAAAGGAATGCGATAACTAGGGGCTTTTAGAGTGGTCCAAAGAGAGACAGAAGAGGCGCAGAGTGACGATCCGCACAAAAACGTGGCTCTTTGTTGCGTGTGTGCCTCTGCGTTCTTTGAGGTATGTCTTTCAGACTTCCGGTGAGTCCTACGACTAATAAACAAAAGAAAAATAATATTAAAACAGGCGTTTTAATTAAACAAGGAACTGCCAAAAAAAAGCCAAGAGTTTTTTTAACGAAATGCAGACTTTTTAGTTGAGAACGTCAGCGGAATCAAAGGACACCGTGGAGTTACAAAACACTTAGCAGGTGTCGCTTCTTTCTTCATAAACCCGTTCACAAGCTGGAATTCTAACTTACACAGAGGTGTGCGAAAAGTGGTTCTAATTGAATAGCCCCGCACATTCCTTGCCTTCACCAGTGCAAGAGAACCATACTCCGTTCACAACCTGAGCTGAGACTGCAGTGGGAGCTACTTGCCCGCCGGACCAATCGGCCGCCTTCCTCTTATAACCTGACCCGGCTCTCTGCGCGTGGGTATGAGCGGGAGCATGATGACGTGGCAAAATAGAGGCGTATGACTGGTCCAACGAGGACGTATAGCTTCCACCGTAGCCTCAGCTTGGCGGGGAACGGAGTATACATACCGGCTGGCTTTGCAGCGTTGAAGCTAGCGATGACTTTGCGCTCTTCGATTCGAAGCGATATTGACATACCCCTGGTTCACAGACCAGGGGCGCTAATCTGGACACTTGGCGAAAGAGTCGATGAGAAATTCGGCGGCTATGATTGGCCGGCGCCAAGGTCAAGTGTGGCGTTGGCCAATTGCGGCCGCCAAATTTCTCGCCGTCGTTTTCGCCAAGCGTCCAGCTTAGGGCCCCAGGGGACCTAATCTGGACACTTGGCGAAAAAGTGGGTGAGAAATCTGGCGGCTGTGATTGGCCAACGCCGCATTTGACCTTGGCGCCGGCCAATCAGAGCCGCCGGATTTCTCATCGACTCTTTCGCCAAGCGTCCAGATTAGCGCCCCAGGTTAATATTCCTTTCCGAAGGCTTTACATGAAAATCTAAAACTTACTTTGTAACAGATAAAGCTAAATCAGCTTAAGCGAATTTTGGAAAGAAAACAGCCTTTGCGCAAGCTGTGTCTGGAAACGACCTCGTGCCGACGGCAGCGTTAGCCCCGTGGCCGGGCAACGAACGCTTCTCCAAATCCCTCTCTTCGCCACGTGATTGCACGAACGCGTGCTGCAGGACTTCTGTTCGAAAACTTCCTTCGAGAGAAATCAATGCCCTCCACAAACGGCTTCGTTAAAGTGGGTCGAATGCTCCCAATAATGGCACTGCTAATGATGATGACGTCGGGTGGTCGGCGTCGCGTTCCTGAGAAGGATGCTTCTCCACGCAAACAGTTATACTGTGGAAAAGCCAGCCGTGCAGGGACTCGCGACAGGTTTTCCTAACGACGGCGGACGCCGTTCCGGCTAGTCGCGTCCGCAACAGCCCGGCGTCGAAGCAGATGGCAGAGCCATAATTTCACGGCTATTCACTCCTTGGAGTTTTTCACTTCATTTTTGAACTAGGCCTCAAACAAACAGGCGAACATACAGGCAGTAAGTGTGAAGCATCTTACCTAGGCTGCCTTTTGCACTCCAGGTCGAGTTTTATTTACACAGAATGTGTTTGAGGGTCTCCCTTAGTAAAGTGGGACAGAACGCCACGGAGCACGTTACGAATCGAACTTCAGAGGAATATCTGTGCAGAAGAGAGGTAAACTGAGAAAATGACAACGAAATGCTGAAAGAAGGGTCAGCGCTTAGGCGAGCAGGTAAAACGTTGCATACCTTGACCTGAGACAGGGAAGGAAAATAAAAACACACGAATGAAAGGATAACACAAAACGTCTCCGATTGTTGTCGTCCCTTCCTTTTATGCGTATTTCTTTTCCTTCCCTGCCTCGGGTTATGTTACTTCAATGAAATTCTAATCGCGCTCTAACGGGAATCAAACCCACGACCCCATGACAGTGAGCTCGATATTCTACCACTGTGCCAAGGGGGAGACTGGCGAATAGATAAAAACTGATCTACACCAAGGGCGGCAAGCGTGTACGTTGTAACTTGCGCAAATTACTTTATCCATCACAAGGAATGGATTGCAATCAATGAGAAGAAACAAGAAAGACGTGCTCACCACCGTATAAATCAAGGGATGACTTTGAAATAAACTAACACGCTATAGCCCCCCCCCCCCCCCCCCGCTTTCCCTAAAAGTGAAAACCTTACAATTTTGACCACATTATCCGAAGAATTCTGCGGAAGCACATTCTGAATGTTCCGACTTTATTCGTTTGATCAAGATAAATTAATTATTTTTAATATCACATAACATTTCTATTATCTCGTGAACAGTTTACTTTGCCTTATATATATATATGTGTATATATATTTAATTATAATTTTTTCTATTCATCTATTTAATTAATTTTCCAACACTTCCCGTTGCCCATAATCTGTTGCAATATAAAAAGAGCACAAAAAAGCTTCACATACACACACACACACACAAAGACAAAAACTGCTCCGCTCAATGTTTATTATTTCTTGTATTTGTTGACATCAAACTTTAAAGCCGGGGTCGCACTGCTTATACATCATACAAAAGACAGTCTGCATACAGATTCGAACGCGAGTCACCGCGAGATCCCTGCTTCGAATGCCGCATGGCAATGAGTTCAAGGAGAAACTTGGCACACGGCATTCGAACCACAGATATTGCGGTGACTCGTTTTTGCAGGCTGTATTTTGTATGATGTATGATCAGTGGGGACCTCGGGTAAAAAAGAAAAAAAAGTGCCCTGACCGAGGCTCCCCACTCTTTGTAAGTCTAGGAAACTAGTGCGTTTGTACTCAGTGCCGTAGTGTTGCCATTTCTCTCTGGGAATTTGGGGCCAGAGCCTTCACTGCAGAACTTACGTTGTAACCACTAAAAGCCGTTGCGATGAGCTGGATATAATACTCCGCGTAACTTTAATACATAAAGCGTTCGAAGCGTCTTGTTTCGTACCTACAAACAGTTACACTTTTTTATATCTGTAAAATACTTATCCTCAATGTAGTTCGCACGCAATCTTACGAAAAGAAAAAACACGAAAACAAACGCAGGCAGCCCGCAACAGAGACACGCACATGTTGACCACCCGTTTATGAAATACGCCAAAGTGACGGCCATATTTTAACATGCAAGCAAATAATCTTAGCGTAGTTTGAGTGCAAGAGCACGGGCGCTTTGCTACGACTGAGGCAGTTCCGTGTTATGAACCTAGCACCTCTGTGGTCATCATTTGTTTTGTTCTTTAGTTTCTGAGGTAGCGTGAACAAATATTTTAAAATATTTTAATAACACGCACTGTTTGGGGAGCACTGAAATAAGCTGGTGATGCTTGGGAAGGTGTAAAAAACGAAGACAAGTTAGGCGATGCTGCAAAGAATAATCTTGTGTTTATTTTTTAATTAAAAAACAAAAACAAAAAAAAACGTACGAGGGTGATTCAAAAAACGTCAAGATATGAAAGTTATTTAACACATCAAGTAGTACCCTTCAAAAATAAAAATAAATAAATGAAAGGCAGTTTCCGCTCATACAAGATTCATGGTCGCATACAGCTAGCTGTTAGTACCCCAGTCAGATGCCGTCTCTATGAAGCAATGAAACTGAGGGGAATGTTTACCAGCCGTTTGTAGTATCGTTAAAAGCTACTTATAATAGGGAAATGCAGATCCTAAAAGCAATCAAAGCCTCAACTACTACATTCATGAACATATCCGTGTGCTTCTCCATACAGCCCAAGAGAGCGCTTCACTGCAACTACAGGAGGAGCTCAACAATGGAAGAGGTATACAAAACGTTTTCAACCAAAACAAAGTAACACAGAGAGAGAGAGAGAGAGGGTTAGAGGAAGAGAGAGAATGATTGAAAGGCAGAGGGTGTTTGCCTGAGCGCCTGGCTCTAGCAGACTACAGTGGGGAAAAGGGGATATGAAGGAAAGATTGGCAAAATGAAATGATAGGTGGAAGGGTATATGTACCACCATGAACTGATCAGAGTGTCATTATCTTCCACTTTAGAGGGTCAGTGCCAGTCTTTTGTATCGCAAAAAAGGTAATCAATGCGGTTCTCGCTTTTACGGAGCATTGAATCGAGTCCCAGCCGCCAAGAACTTTCTCGACGGCCTATTATCTATGTTTCATAGTGTCACTTCAAGTACCTGTCTCTCGGTGGCGTGAGGGGTACATACAATGAGGAGGTGCTCTATGGTGTCCGGAGTGTAGCAAGTTGGACAATTTTGACTAGCAACTTTTTTTTTATTTATGAAGAAACATTTTTGTGAGAGCTACTCCAAGACGTAATCTGTAGATAGTTATTTCTATTCGACGAGGTAGTCCAATTTTCAATTGAAATATCATGTTAGGATGCGGGCAGTTCATGCAGGTCTGGAAGAAATCTGAACAACTCCACACATCCGATGTCAATTCCTCCGCTGCTTGACGATGTGCGAATGCAGTCTCCATCGAAGGTATGAGACAGCAATGGCTGTGATGTTACTGGTTAGAGTTTCTTGCGACTTTGTTAACGCTTTTGTTACCGGTTATAAGACAGTGGCCTGAAATCCACTGAAGTAAAATAACGTGGCTGGCTTGCAGAATGCTTTATGTAAGTGATGTGATTGCAAAGACGAGGGAAACATACACAGCATGCCTCAGTATTGATTGGAGGGCTAGTAAAGCTTCTATTGAGTCTGTGATGACGACCCATTTA